TCTTTTCATGGATTTCAGCGGATATATGATCTAACCCTGGTTGTCCTACCAACATCAACGGGATGTTAACACACACATCAATACTCACGCTCAATATGATGCATATAGGAAGTATCCTACTAAAGTGGACACCATGAATAATAATAAGGGTTTTGTCCTTAACTAAATCAGAATTAAGCACCTCAAGGAAAAATAGACATCGTCTATCTTAAGATTCCCCTATAGTGAATGTCCAATTCGTTACCATAGATGGTAAGAGTTAAACTTCCCTTTCCTCCAAGCTCTCTGAATATCATCAGAAATATATTCATTACAGCTTGCCTTTCTTCATTTTGCCATGCTAAAAGTTCAGTAACAGGACACTGCCAGAAAATATATTGATGGTTTCCTGGTGGTTTCCTGTGTTTGAGACGTGAGACCCTCACAGAACCACAGAATGCTTAAAGTTGGAAGGGATCTCTAGAAATCATCTAGTCCAACCCCCCTGCTCCAGTAGGGTCACCTAGAGCATGTGGCACAGAACTGCATCCAGGCAGTTCTTGAAGATCTCCAGAGAAGGAGACTCCACAACCTCTCTGGGCAGCCTGTTCCAGGGCTCTGGCACCCTCACAGTAAAGAAGTTCTTCCTTACATGGAGGGGGAACTTCCTGTGTTTCAACTTGCACCCGTTACCCCTCGTCCTGTCACTGGCCACGATGGAGAAGAGCCTGACCCCATCCTCCCTAATCTCGTTCAGAAGCCTTCTCTTCTCCAGGCTAAACAGGCCCAGCTCGCTTAGTCTTTTCTCATGTGACAAATGCTCCAGTTCCTTAATCATCCTCGTGGCTCTCCACTGGACCCTCTCTAGAAGCTCAAACTCATTGTACACAGGATACCTTATTCAATTCCTTACCTCCCCTTCAAAAGAAAGAGTTGTTTTCTTCATTTCAGTTCACGAAAAGACACAACTTTGCAGAAAAGTCAAGCGATCAGCCACTGTGGAAAAATAAAAACAAAAACACTGCCACCCCATCCAGGTCTCTGACAGGCTGGATGCAGTTTGCAGGCAGGCTAGCACCACCGGATTCATGCTCTTTTGTCTGAAATAAAAATGGCTTCAAAAGTGGTTATGGGCAGTACTTCAGGGCAGGTTACATGTGCTGCAATTGCACCTCCTAAGAAGAGTTCAGATGCAGCACAGGGCTGGACAGACACACTGACAGAGGCAGCCTCACCAAGCTGAAGAGAAGATGGCCGGACGGATGCTGCTTTGGTTTGCTACTCGAGGTCAGCCCATATTAATAAAACCACACGTGTTCCAGCAGCAGACGAGTTGCAGTTAATTTCACCTAAAAGAAGACAAAAGGAGCCAGGTCCTCCTCCTCTTCAGGGTGGAGGAAGGCTGGCCCAGCTGCCCACACTGTGTTTGAGCATATCGGGTTTGCACAAGTACCTTGCTATTGGTTTTGGTCTGTTGTTTTCTTTAGGGTACTCGAAATACAGAAAAATAATTGTAAACTTAAAATAATGTTTTTAACCAAGAGGCAGGAGTTTTATTTCCTGACATGAACAGTAGATGTCCCTCTTACCCTGAGTCAGCTCTTCAACCCCCTGTTGGGGGGTTTTCTCACCTGCAGAAGTGCTCGATGTTCAAATTTGAGTTACCGAGCAGACAAGACTACTTAGTCTCAGTCCCATTCAGATTTTAAAAGCCCAGACCAGTCACTTTTATCAACACCTTCTGGATCCTGTAACATTGGTAGGATCTGACCGTACACAGTTCAGAGTGGCAGTTTACAAAACAGCTTAAAGCAGAAAGACAAGTTCTTAAATCAGTTAGTGATAAAATTCCTGATTGCATAAATTCTTTTAAAAAAACAATATTCAGCTTGCTCTACTTGACAGCTTGCACATTGTGCCCCATTTCAGTAAAGAGTTAAATCTGACACACAATAAAATACTTAACAAATAACACTTACCTACAGGGCACTGCTGTCAAAACCCATTTTTTTGAAAGAACTCCTCCACACACAGTTAAATGGCCTTTCCAGGTAACACCCGTAAGAGGCCAGGAATGGGGAAGTACAGGGTGTCCCTCAGTAATGGCAGCACAGCCATATGAAACACAACATAAGTTACGTTATTTATGCAGGAAAAAGCAGGAAATTGAAATTTCTTGTCCCACAAGGGCTATTTGTTTCTTATGGGTAGGACTACTGCGGTGAAGGTGAGCCAGAGAGCAAGAAGGTGGCTTGTCATAGCTGTTGCTTTCTATTGATGAGGCTGTGAACTGTGATGCACGCTTTTCTGTATATATAGAAGTGGTGGTGGACTGTTCTGATGAATAGCACCTTCTTTTGAATTTTCCTTTTACATCATTATATTGTAAAACTTCAAGCGCAGCTCAATTTCTTTAAAACCAGCCTGTTTCTTGAATCCCCAGGTGTGTCAGTATGCATTGCATCAAATCTATCAGAAACGTCAGCAGTTCTTCATCCAATTCTTGCATTAGAAGACAAGTGCCTAAGAAAATTCCTAAGAATTACATTTTCTTTGCAATAATTTTGAAGGTTCAGGAACCCTCCCACACACACATGCACATAATTTCAAATGTAAATAAAATATCTAACAAATGGTCACAAATAAAAGATAACAAAGACACAGCAGTGGGAGATAAAATTCTGCATTGCTAACCTCTGTGTCTGTACTCGCCTTCTGTTCATCTTGCTGGTAAACCACTACAAAAAACAGCTTGACTTTTGTGTGAAATTGTGTGAAAATTTTGTGTGAAAAAGCCTGCTAATCATCATAAATATCTTTAGAAAGAATCAGAACTGTAACCCTCCCAATACACCCAGCTTTCATGTTTATTCAAGAATTAGAGAGCAGCAGTTCCCCGGGTTGTTGAAGGATATTATAGCACTGAAATGCTTATTGGTATGGCACAGAATCTTACGAGCTATAATCTAGTCAGAAACATATGAAACCTTCACATTTTGTCTCTCAGAAAGCTCCTGCAAAGTTCTTTTGGAAGAAAACACTCGTCTTTTAGAATAAATGAGTCAGGACAACTTACTCCCAAGTCACTCTCCATCCTCTTAACTAATAACTTCCTCCACACACTGGAGTTTCTTTTGGAGGTTATCGGTACTTTGCATCACACAATCAAGTTTTCCATAGCTGTTGCCTCTGTTAAATGGCTAGCAAAGAAAGTTGTGTGAAACCAAGTGCTAATAAAAGACAAGATTAATGGCAGATTCCTCCTCCGAAAAGGCTGAAGGTGGCCTGTGTTTCTGCAGCATCCTGCCTAATACTGTATTTTTTCTATCAAATGCATGCAGCTTTGTAAAAGTGACACAAGTTCACGGAAATGCTTTGAGGACTCTCAGAGTTAGCTAAATCTGTTTGCATTTCTATGCTAATATATTTTTCTGGGATATCATACAGGTAATTTGCAGGTAATTACAAGAAAACAGAAGCAAAATTAAATGGTTGGGTGACTTGGGGTGCATGGAGCTGTCACCACATTGGAGGTGACAATATCTCTGATGGGCCAAGGCAGTCACAAAGGGCTCTGTTATCTCTAAATATAGCTCAACATTTATTTTCTTCTTCCGATTTAAGCCAGTACTTATCAAACTAAGAGGATCAGCAGAGCACTGAGTGGGATTCGGGTCCCCTAAATAGATCCTGAACAACTGACCCACTGAATCCCTCTGCAGAATCCCTTGACTATATTGACCAGACAGACCTCAGGGGCTATATGCAAGCTTGAGCTACAGACACCAGGGCCTGGTAGCTGGGGCTGGTGATGTGTCAGTGGACTGGTGAGAGACTTGTGTACTCAAGGATCTGGAGGCCATGCAGATTACCCTGGTGTTCCTGAAACGAAACTCAACATCGCTATGTGGACAACTGAAACAAGACCAAAATGACATGAGCTGAAACCTCCTGTGTAATCAGACACGCAGTGGCTTGCCAGGTTAGGTGGCTCATGCCAGAGCTCACAGCAGCAACGCTGCGTGGAGGACCTGGCGGGGCTGGGGGGAGGTGGGAGATCCTATCTTCGCACCACAAAAACACAACTAACGCCCCTGCTGCAAGCTATGTCGTAGAAGAGGTTTTCTTGTTTCACATTTAGAAATGTCAAATGTCCTTAAGAGGAAAAGCAAAAGCCACATCCTTTACATTTAGATATATATTAAACAGTGAATAGGGGAGAACTCAGGCAGAAACCATGGGGCCTTTCTTTGCTTTGTCCACCTCTTTTGCTGTCATTCTCCTCGTAATTCCTGGAGGTAAGTGCCCCTTTTGATCTTTTTTTCTGGCAAATGGTGATGTGCAGAGTCAGAGTCGGGCAGAAAAGCATCAGCAGAAAGAAGGCACTATTATTTTTCGAGTTCTTATTAGCTCTTTGCACTAACTGTATGTGTTTGGCCTTTCCATATAGATAAAAAGAAATCCATGTCTCCAGATTCTTTCACTTCTCTCTCTTTCTTTCTCTTTCCTTCTTCCTTCCTTCCTTCCTCCCTTCCTCCCCTCAAAGACGTGTTCATTTAATATGACTTATTCTGAATAGTCCCATTTCCAGGCCTGCACATAGGACACACATTGCACAGTGCTTATCTGGTGATGGATCAGGAGGTTCTTAGTCACAACAAAAGCTGAGAAATTAACCATGGCAGTGAGGTTCAGGAAAAGAAATCTGTGCAAGAACAATAATACTCTTGTGTTATGGTGTTTTCTTTTGTCAGAAGTTCACACCACTAATGTAATTTTTGTTCTCCTGAAGCATAGAGAAGTAGTACTGCTGAGCAGTATTAAGTCAGTATTAAGCCTAGCATTGTGGCATATGTACATACTTTGGTATCTATATACTTTATAATTATGTATTTTTTTTCTAAGACACTAAAAGTTTCTTACAGTATTCATGCTGTGTGTATTGTGGCTTGTTTTTATTTTCAGGTTTGTGTGTGGATATTATTGGAGGTAAAGAAGTAGTACCTCATTCAAGACCATTCATGGCTCTAATTAAAGAAAAGAATGGACCGAACCTTTGTGGAGGAGCTTTGATCAAAGCAAACTGGGTGTTAACAGCTGCCCACTGCAAAACGTAAGTTCTGAATTTGATTCATGGATGCGCTTAGTGAGTATGTGGCATACTCTGCAAGGAGAGTTAATATTCCTGGTGGTTTTGTGCCTTTAACACGGGCATGACTATGTTCTGACTAGTATGTTTCAAGATTCGTATTGCCAACTTTGATTTGTTGATTAGGAAATACTTTAACAAGGTCTTTACCTGCAGTGTTTCTGGAGAGACTTGTAAGCTTCTGTCCGTATGCAAGGATAGACTAGCAACACTGAAGGACTCAGCTGAGGGCAAAGATTTATGCCCGTTTCTTCAGTCAGTCAGTACACTTGACCAAATACAGGACAGGATAGTCTAGCTGCTCAGAAAACAGAACCATATTCTTGATATTTCATTTTATAAAAGACATGCCTTTCATTGCAGAATGAGACAGCATGCAGATATAAAGGAGAAAATATCCTCGAGATAGAGGTCTCTAAACATCTGTCATCTACTTTATAGAACGTTAGTAATAATAATAATGATGACATAATACCTGATCACGTTAGCTTGTCAGACAGCCTTACTTGTTGCTCTCTGACTCCAGATGCAAACAGCTGCTTGGCCCAGGACACGCTTCCCCAGCAAGGCGAGATGGGAGGTTTACACCATACATCCCACCCGTTGTCCTTCTGGCCTGGAGCTGCTGCTGAGCCAGACCTCACACAAGCTCCAACAACGGCCCTTCTGGCCCAGTTAGTCACTGGGCTCTACAGACATCAGAGAAGTGTAGCACTTCCTCCTGTCACCATCCGAACAGGGGACATACCAGACCTACTAAAGAGAGGCCACAGGACTCAAAAGCTGTAATATTAACATGAGGCAAAGAATGATGCTATATGAAACCTCAGTTAAGAGAGAAGAGAAAAAAAAAAACACAACCCAATGATGCTCAGTCAATGCTTAGAGCTTAATAGCTGAACAAACCTCAGGGTTTTGGCTTGTTGCAGTAAAAGGCAATTTTTTAAAAAAGCCATCCTAGACACCTGCTCAAAGAATATCCTCACATTCAGTCCCATTCATTTTTCTCACAGGAACAGCCATATCTATGGTCTGATATAAAGCAGCATCTTGCTTGACTAAAGAGGGCAGACTCTTAGTTTCTATATCAGAAAATCCCAGCAAGCACATCTCTTATCACCCTTTCAGTGTCTAGGGAGTATATGAAGCAGAACAACAGAGATGAAGAGAAGTGCATCTCATGTGGCCTCAAAAAAATGGCGTTGAAAAGTACATCAGGTGTTAGGACGAAGTAACGGCACGATTTGGCCCAGACATGATGACTTCTGCCTGAGTGGTCCTGTGATCCATTCTCCCAGGCTTCCAGGATAAATGGCAGAGGAACACACTTGGTGAGATCATCACCATCAGCAAAGATGATGCAGCTGCTTTCCATTTGGTTCCCAAAGGGGTCAGTTCAGAGCCAAGAACTTGAGCCTTGTCTATGCTCCTAGAAAGGTGAAAATAGAGTGACAGGAATCTTCATTCAATAACTCAATTTGTTTAACTATTTGTGAAAAAGTGGCAATATTTTACATTTTTGTAACTTACTGTTGCTTTTCAGGCATAAGGCAAGAGGCCCTGTAGCAACTTGTTATTATAGCACCACATTCAACAGCAAGGAATTGCAAACTTGGAGCAAGTGATTCCTATTAACTATATTGTCTTTTTCTCAGGGAAAGAAGCGAGGTTATTCTTGGAGCTCATTCGATACAAGGAAGAGAGAGAGAAAAACAAGTTTTTCAGATTACAAAACGAATTCCCCACCCGTGCTACTGTCCTATTAAGCAAGAAAATGATATAATGCTCCTGCAGGTACAAATTTACTTAAGGAATATGCATCTTCTATGACAAAACACTTTATTCCTCCTTATGAGGAAAGGACATGAGTCAAGGGACTTTCTGGAGGCTCCTTCCTTAGTGAGACAGTAAACCTGACTGACTGAAGGTTAATGGAGGTTGAACTGCTCATAACACCAAATAAGACATAAAAGCAAGTGCAAATCACAGAGTTAGAGTTTTTTTCCTTGATGAGGCTCTCCAGGCTGTTGGCAAGAGTTTCACAGAATCACAATGGCTGGAAAAGACCTTTAAGATCATTGAGCCCAACTGTAAACCCTTCAAGGGCAGGCCTGTTTAACCATGTCCCTAAGTGCTTCATCTACGCCTTTCTTGAACACTGCCAGGGATGGTGACCCCACCACTTCCCTGGGCAGCCTGTTCCAATGCTTCATCACTCTTTCTGTGTAGAAATTCTTCCTAACGTCTAACCTGAACCTGCCCCGGTGCAACTTGAGGCCATTTCCTCTTGTCCTATCGGTAGTTATTCTGGAGATTGACCCCCGCCTCATAAAACCTCCTTTCAAGTAGTTGTAGAGAGCAGTAAGGTCTCCCCTGAGCCTCTTCTTCCCCAGACTAAATAACCCCATGGACAAAGGACATGATATTTCATGGGACAAAGGACACAGATTTCCCTAATTCTGTCATTACCACATTGATGAGACAAGTTTTGCTACAAACTATTGAAGTATCTCTTTAAGAAAAAAAAAAAAGGGGGGGGGGCAGTGTTGAGGGCAGGAGGAGGAGCGAGAAATAAAATAATCTTCCACTATCTTGATGGAAAAGGTCCGGTCATTAGCACTGCAGGAATCTCTATTAGTCTCATCTCCATAACAATATTTTTTTGTATCTTCCACAGCTTAAAAAAAGAGCAAAAATTACTAAAGCTGTGAAACTCATTCCATTGCCAGACTCAGATGATGATCCCAAAGAAGGAACAATTTGTACAGTGGCAGGATGGGGGAAAACTCGTAATAATGATAAAGAGTCCTCTAGTACACTCAGGGAAGTCAACGTCACTGTCATCAGCAGAAGAATATGCAATGACTGGAAGCATTATAAAGGCAAACCTGTCATAACAGAGAATATGATATGTGCTGGGGATAGGAAAGGAGGAAAGGACTCATGTTCTGTAAGTATATTTACTCGCTGTTTCCACCTAGAGAATATAAAACACTAGTTTCAATATACGACTTACTAAAATGAGTGAATTTAGCAAAGGTTTATAAAAGCTTCAAACTGGTAAATCCACCTTCACAGACTTCAGATTTTGTGCTTTTCTCCAACCATGGCACACAGCTATTCTCTTCCTCCACAAAAGGGTGTTAATAAAAAAATCTCTACAAAGCAACTGATGATTAATTGGCCTATTTTCTGGGAAAGAAACGGAAGAACTTCTCCAAGGTCAGAGGGCTTTGAAGCACTCTTTTTTTCTCGATAAAAAGCATTTAAACTGTCTACCAAGCAAGTCAAATAACTAACTGTGTAAGAATTACGGCACTTTTATAAGAAGATTTAAGCACTGAATTAACAAAGTTACATAGAAGATTCACATTTCCAAAAACTTCCTGTCTTTCATGTGGGAAGTTACCATCTTGTTCATATTCAGACACACTACATAACTATTCTTCAGCAGTGATCTAGAATTAGTCCACGAAATTCACATCAAAAATCAGATTTAAGTCTTTTTCTTTTGGCTAGTGAAAAACTTACTTTCTAAGGAGTAAAAAAATATACTACAGTCCAGATTTTTGCTTCTCCTTTCTCTTCTGAAACAAGATTTAAGAAAGAGAAGAATTTTTAAGCTTTGGCAAATTTCAATGACTTTTTTTTTTTTCTTTTTCCAGGGGGATTCAGGTGGACCTTTGATATGCAATGGTGTGATGAGAGGCATCACTTCTTTTGGGAAGGCCAAACACTGTGGTGCTGTTGACGGCCCTGGTGTCTATGCTCGACTCACAAAGCAATACCTTCAATGGATAAGAAATACCATAGGGGGAGATTTACAGACTGGATTTTGATCAGCCAATTTCTTATTCCTACTCTGTGCTTGTGTATTAAAATCTTGCTTTGCAATATACATTACAAAATAGCTTCATGTAAAAAAGGTATTCCCATGCTGAGCTTTAGCACCTTTATTTCTTTAGGAATGAAACTGCTTTCAGATAACAGGGACACAACAGAGCACCCTGTGTTAACAGTATTTGTGGCTTATAGGTTCAGGTATAGAGTCATTAAATGTACTCATGACTCAGGCTTCTGCTATTCTTGAGCTAAACTTTGAAAACTGAGCTCTACCCAGATGAATAATTCTGACCAAAACATAGTCCAGCTGCTTAGTCCTGAGTGCATGCTGAATATGTATCTAGATTTCTGCAAAGAACCCTGGAAGTAAATGAGGTGTCAGATACAATTCCTGATACCTGAAAAACGTGGTAGTGTCTCTGTAGGAGAACCCCTGATTTTACAGGTAGTAAGCTTGGTAGGCCTTAGGAAATGAGGTGTCAGAAACTGGACTGTTTGAACAGCATGATTGGGAGACAAAAAGTATGTATTTTCTAACTTTCACGCATTTAAAGCCTCTGTCTTTCACCCTTTACTGTATTTTGCATTTAATAAAAAAGATGGCAACAAACTCTACTGCCTGAAGCTGTCAATTTACATGAGACAACCTGGCTCTTGCAATGCAGGCACTCTGCATACCATTATCTAGAGCAATATGTATACATATTTCAGATGTGCTATGTTTACAGATTGCACTAAAGTTAGCAAATTATATTAAAAATAAATTCTCTGAAAACCCTCCTCCAGAGAAATAACATAAGGTGTCTTAGCAAACAAAAAAAGTGGTTCAACAACCACTTTTCAAAGAGATCTATCATGAAAAATATTTCTCCATGTGCCCATATTAACCTTCTTAAATATCTTTAGCCATGAATACCTCAAAAAAGGTCTGGTTTTATTTTATGTTCCTTTTTTTTGTTTTGTTTTGTTTTTTACTTAGGAGTTATCTAAGAGAAAGAGGAGGGTGAAGAAATTTTGTACATACCTCACTGCTCATTTCATAATAAGGATTAAATATCACTTAGAAACACAACATAAAAAAATAAAGATTAAAACCTATTTACACATCTGTCCCCACCTGACAAAGTAGATCAAAATAGAAATTTGATCCAAAGAGGAAGATTTAGGGGTGAGGAGGGAGAGGGTCTAAGTTACAGCAATCTTCCCCAGAAGCTTTGAAGCTGAAAGTCTTTTTTATTTTCTGTCTATTGTGAACATTACAGCAGCAGAGCTTGCAACATCCCTGCTTCCTTACTCATAACGTGTAGCTTGCATTTTTGCTCTATGACTGATCAACTGTAAAAAGCCACACACACAAACACAGAAGCAAAGAAAAGAAATAGAAGGTATCTTATCCAAGTGTATCTTATCCATTGAGTTCACATCCTTACAAAAGAGCAAAAAGCGTCGTTTTATTAATGGGCTTTTGGCTAGTTCCACTGAAATTAGTGACTTCTTCCACTTTAAGTATTATATTACTTTCAGGGCCAACACAGATTGACCATTCAATAATGAATGAGCTTAATTAGGTGAAAGTAGTCAGCACTACTGGTCAGAAGAAAAGTGTTTTCCGATTTTGATAGCTATGTAGCAAGCAAAATAGTCTTAACTTCATATTGACTAGCTCTTTCCCCAGGTCATTCTCCTATCCTACTCATTATTAAATGTCTGTTCCTTTATTTGGTAAACAGAACATTTAGGTAACTTCTATGGAAAGAGGGAATTTGAGGGAGAACCACAGAAATGGTATAAAGAGAATAAAGAGATGAACTCCATTACTTTTTTCCATTTGCAAAGAGAAAACATGAAGCTCCTAAAGTTTTAAAAACACTGTTTTGGGTATTTAAATCACACTGCAGATGCCAAATAAAATCAGCTACACCAAACATGTTATTATTAGAGTGCAGGTACTATACAGGTTATTTTCCATTCTTCAGTACCAGTTTATTCCTAGTTATGTCTATCTTTTCTATCGGGTTTAACATAAGACCACAAGAGATGACCACAGAAACCAGCAGCTTAGTAGCATGAATTTACTGTAAATTAACAACTTGTTGGGTACCTGCGACAAACATAAGTGGTCTCAGCCTTCCAGACTTAAAGTTAGTGATCACGTGATTTCTGAACAGCAGAAGACAAGGTTTTAAAAATTGTGAGAACCACAGACATGAGAGTTTCACATCCATTTCCAGAGATGCTTGTGCCCCATTATTGTTGCCTATCACTTTCTGAACATTTGATCATAACTTAATTTTCCACCAGCTGATACAAATCTATTTCCCCAATTTCTCATACTTACCCAGGTCAGTTCAGGAAATAGACTAAATATATTTCAAGAAAAAAAATAAAAAAAATCCAAGCAACATGAGTTTGAGCTCAATGGGCTTTTAATATACAAATGCAATGAACAAATCTTTCATAGTTCCTCTCCTCCAACAGTGAAAGCAAAGCTCTAGAGATGTCTCAGCACCGCTGAGATTTGTCCGCATGGCACATGAAGACGACTCCCAGCAGCCATACTTAGCTGTTGACAGCACACAGGTCTTAGAGAAACTCCCATTAAAGTCCAAGGGGGTTGGTCCTTGGGAACACCATGTAAAATGCATAGAGTGCCAGCTGCCAAATTTGCCAACATCCAGAATTAAACTGGTACTCATGCGGGGTAAATGATCTAACTGTTGTGTTTGACCCAAACAGAATGCCTCTTTGACTCTGCTTACTAAGCTTATTAACTAGTTAATTACATAATTTTATGCAGTAACAGAATTATTACATATGTATTTATATTTTCAAGTATCTATCACATACAATAGGTGAGTTTAAGGAAACAACTCAATATCCAGTGAAAGACGGTTTTCTAATAAACCCTAGTTCTCACTGCTGCTATGAAGACAATAAATAATTCAAAAGAAAATATTTATTTTTGTTTTAGTTTGAGTTATGTATTTAGTTATGTATGTATCATCTACATGATGTTTAGAATAATTCAGTTCCCTGGGCTGGTCTCTGCTGGTCCCAACCCTTGAATGATTCAAGGTTACTCATATGACAGGCATATGTGTTCCCAATGGAAATACTAAGATGATGTAGAACTACTTAAAAGGACCACAGCTAAAAGCAGGACCTAAGGCTTCATGCTGATATTTGACATAGGGTGTACTCCGCTCATGCTTGTTAGCTTAATGAAAATATATTATTCTTCAGAGTTATGATCTTTCTCTTCTATTGTGGAAGAGACAAGCTGCTAGCATTCTACAAGATTGCGGACTGATGTGGAAATTTGCTTTCTCGTGAAAACATGATGATGTTTTTTGCCGCGTTTAATTTAGAAGTAATGTATATATTCCTAATTATTAAACAGGCCAAATGCACTTAATCGCTTGCTTTCAAGGGAAAGAATTCACAAGAATGAGCTCAGATAACCACCTGAAAAAGCCCTGCTGGTGTGGCTACTCTGCTCAGGCTAGTGGCATTTCCACACACAAGCTGTCCCATCAGCTGCCACAGAAAAAAGCCTGCTCTCATCGGGGCTCAGGGCTACATGCAGCACTCTCCCTTTGTGACCTGCAAAATAAAATACACAAATAAAATATCAAAGATGTGTCACAATTTTACACCGAGAACACAGTGCACTTTCACCATCACCCACCCACAGTTTGGCTTGTTCTATTTCCACTGCAGTAGCCAAGTGTGCTGCGTAAGATGTGTTTTTTCACTGAATCCTGCCTTATCTAGAGAGTACTTTCACATTATGAAGGAATTGAAGCATTTTATTTTTCCTATTAGGGATGAGGATTTAATTGTAAGGACTGTACCACACTGAGAAGGCATTTCTGTCCAAGAAGAATATTAAACCTGAACTCTCAATTCTTCATTGCATTTACCAGAAGAATCTCATCTGGGACTGGTAATGTGTCTCAGCTGAGCATTACCATCTGGCTGCACATTCTTTGCAGATGCTGATCCAACAGTTATGAGATAGTGTCTCCAGCTGCAGTTACTACTAAAGAGATCTTCTAATAATTATCCCACTGAATAATTTATTTGAAATTCATATCGAGTTTGTCTGTAGTTGTAGTAAAGTGGGAGCTAGACAGTGGAAGCCAGAAGCTACCTCAGTCTAGCAGCACAAAAACAACAATGAGATCATTAACCTGGTAATTATCTTCCTCAGTATAAACTGTCTCTGAACCTGGTGGCCAGACAAGATTCTGTTATAAAGCAGAGATCTCTGCTTCCTTAACTGCTCTCCAGAGACCTCCTGTGTGATCTTGCACAATGTCACACCATAAGTTTCCTTAGGCACTTGTGCCAAGATATGTGGGGAGGCTTTTTACCATAAGTTACTATACCATTAGCTTCTTTGGGTGGGTGGAGTACTTAATCATTATGCTGCCTAAAGCAAGCTAGGAATTTCTGAGACACAGTGCATCTCATTCAAAATCTGGTCTTAGACATCCAGCTCAGACAGAGGTTGCCTGTGGCCTCCCACCCTCAGCGCTGCTGTTCCCCTTGGTGACAATGGGGACAGCAGCACTTCTCTAGTTCAACAGAACATCATGAGGATGCACATATGGGAAACTGCGAGGCTCTCCAGGACTGGGGGATTTATCACAGTGGTACCTGAGGAGGATCCATAACAATTCCATAGCTGGTCTGTCTGCCCTACCTTAGTGAAGCTGCTAGAACGGCTCTTTGGATCCAGAATGACTAAAAGCAACTATCTTTGTCCTGGTGCCATATAACATATATATCATTTAGACTATGAGACTAGAATTTTGACTCTACACTAAATTATTTTCAGGATATATATTTTTTCAAATTTAACTCCTATTCAAGGGTACACTATTTTATCAGTATAGATGACCATGAGTTCACATTGCACAGGGTTCTTAAGAAGCAAGTATCAGATATATAGCCTTTAGAGGTATTTAAAAATATATTTACAACACTAACTGAAGTTTGATTAATATTTTCAGACACAAATAAGTGAGAAAGGGTTGGGGAGAAATCAGAACAGTAGAAATTGTTCATTTCCATCTTTTCTGAGTGGGAAGACTTGAATTTTACTTCATGGTTTCAAGATTAAATTTAGTTACTTTTCAAAACATAAATGTTGTGTTTGCTTATGTGCTTTCCTTAATCTATAACAACTTTTCAGAGAGAAGTTTAAATCCAAAATTAAATACCTGGCAGTTTGCCTTCCTAGCTCTACCAGAAGTTCCTAATCCACAAATGAACTTTGCGCTTTAGAAAGATTATCTTCCAGTTGCTCTATTCTGAATGTGCTCACTAGTAGGCAACCTCAATTCCTAAAGTGTCCAACAATAGCTGAGACTGCTGAGTTGTTAGTCTAGGTCTTCAGTAATTTGCAGCAGGATCTAATAGTGAAATTCAATAAAGACAACTAATTTCTTTCAGTGCAGAATCATGTGGTGTCTGAGACTGATTTAGAGTCATCTTAAAATTATCACAGTAGTTTTCTGAAAATATTTTGATACATGGACAATTTTCTCCAATATCCAATTTCTTGGATGTTGCAAGAGTCTCCACAGGAATATCCATGTAGTAATTATCTGATGTTTTTGTTCAGGAAAAATAGTTTTTCTTATGAATGTTTAAACTGAGTAGGAAACAGGATGATAAGGAACTTCCCTGCTTCACATTATTAATGCATTTGATTTGCATAGTGAATGTTTTGCACTATACATTATTTTCAAAATAAATCTTTTCATTGTATATTGTGCATTGAAGATTTATACAGATCTGAGCAGCCTGAGTAGTTAAGTAGCTACAGTAGTAAAGATTGAATGTAGATATTACTTTTGTAGCACAACAGACACATTGAGTCACTTCTCTTGTGTTACCTCTAGATCTTTCCTCAAAGAAAGCTACCTTTAGAGCTATATATAAATGGGTATATGTACATATATATATATATACATACATATATATATATATATATACACACACATACATATATATATATATATATGTGGAAAGAAAAGCACATAAAGAAGCAGCTTTATACAAGGATCCACACATAATCCACACAACCTCTGTCTTCCACCTTAGTATTGAGTCTTCTATGCTTTCCCCTAACAGGCTAGAGTAGAAACCAATTTCTTGCTTACCAGAACAGCATCCCAGAGTACAGCATATACAAAAAATGCTATCAGTGCCTTCAAATGCCTCAACAGGGAACAAAAAAAAAAGTATTTGTAAATATCATTTTTGTTAGGGGCAAAATCAAAATCTTCTTTGTGTATATTATTGTCAGTGAATCACATACAGGTTGTGCCATCTAGGAGGTAATCCACCTAGAAAATATGGAAGCAACCTGACACTAGCTTACTCAGCCAAGCTCTAGGCAAGCCTTAGGTAAAGGAAGAACTCCACATCTGACACCTGGTATGGCCTTAGAAATAATAGGAGAGAATTCTATAATTAAAAAAAAAATGGCATTTTACAAAGTTTACAGAATGCTTAAAAATTGACATTTCCAATCCCATGCCTCATGGCTAGAGATAGGATATGTGGGTGATGCTTTTTAACTTCATTTTACTTAAATGCATTATGTATGTATTTGCAAAATCATACTGATTAGGCAGAAAGATGGTTAACTGAAATAATTAAAACTTAACTGAAATACTTGCCATAGAGTTGTGATGAACTGATAAGCGTAGGATACTTCCATACTATCATCTGATTTCCAGGAAGGCCTTGTCCAGTCATCAGTTCACCGGTTCTGGGTAACCAGAGCAAGGAACAAATCTATTGCAATTTAAAAATCTGCTTTAGTTTTCAGAAAGCCTATAAACACCACGCAGTTGATTTGAAATCTGCAATGATATATGCAATGCTTAAACAAGCTACTGATAAATAACCCCAGCATAAAATTTATTCATTTAGAAGGCTCATCTCACCTCTGACAATACTTCATAGCTGCATCACTGTCCTGGTTAAACATAACTGCAGGCTACCAGTACAAAACTAGAGCTCCACAGACAGATCCTCAGCCAAGTAAGACAGCATAGATCCAAAAGAATCAACAATAGTTACACTGCTTTCCTTCAGCTGACATCCTTATCCTCTGGTTCCAAACATTCAAACTCCAGAGACTGATGTTTGCCCTCCGACTTGCACCTCTCCCCACCCCAGCACTCTGGGAACTTTGCCTGCTCCACAACAATCTCTCCTCGTTTGAGATTTGGCCAAAACCATTACTGCCAATAAGGAAAAGATGATGAAAAGTGTCTGGCCGTGAGGCCACCTTCTCTTCAACCACTTGAGACAGAAGTGGTCAATGAGAAACAAAAAACTACTTCCGAGTCCAATCACAAATCACACACTGCAGTGGTGAAAGTAGCACAGATGTTTCTCCAGAGCAAATCCTGCTGTTCGTTTCTCTAAAGAGCTGCCCTCAAAGTCAGTGGGAGTTTGCCAAAGTAACATGCTATACAAGATGACCATAGTCTGAATACGCAGACATTTCATCATTTCACCTGAGAATCTGTAGCTGCACATTGGATGGTTTTCTCATGATTTATGTCCCAGACACGCAAAATACCATCTTTCATTCCACCTCCTGTAGCAAGGATTTTGGACTCCCAAGGACACCAGTTCATAGCCTAAAGAAAACAGAGACCAGAACGACCAGGACATTAGCTGGGAAAGGCAGAAACAGATTTTACTTACTAGCCATGTTAAAGAAATGACTACAACAAGCACCCAGAATGTACCTTTTTCTTTTAATCACTACGTATCATTCTCTTCGCACACACACAGACAGATGTAGCATCAAAACTCCAAATACCATTTCAGCTTTCGTTTGTCATTGCTTCACAGTAGCCTTCTCTGTTTTCATGTAAGCCTGCAAAACTCCAGGTTCCCTTCTTACACTTCATGGGTCACAGATTCACATTTCCGTGCCAGAAGAGACCATTAGATCACAGGCTGACTTACTGCCTAAACCAAGCCTTCGGGAAACCCCACACAGTGTGACTTACAGGACTTACTAGAGGCCTGGTTTCTTCTGAGATACATGCAGGATATGCCCAAGGTCCAGATTCTACCTAAAGGAAAGCTAATAAGAATTGAATCCCACTTATTCCAACAACTTTCACTCTAATATCAGAGTTTCAATCCAGTCTCAGGCTTTTCTGGGAGTATAAGCAAGTTTATAAATGCTAGACTCTTATCACTGGTATCTATCCTATCTACTGTACAGGGTGGCATCTTATCAAGGTGAGGAATCTGAGCTGTCCCATTTCCAATTTCGTACTTCAGATGCCTTGCTACCAGCTACTATATCATGAAATACAAGTATGGACAGGAGGGCAAAAGAATCTTTATCTTTAAATTTATCTGAATAGAGAGAATTTCCCAAAAGTAAAGTTCAATTTTTTTTTCTCTGTCCAAGACAGAAAGCAAGTAGTAAGGTGTAGATTTATTTGTATTGTGCTTGGTATTATATTACAAAGGCCTACTAATCTAGGAAAAGCTCCTAAAACACTCAGCATTAGCAAACTTACCTGTGACAGAGAATACTACATGAGGAGAATGTGGCTTAAAATTAACTGCACCACAACAAGGGCAGAAGAAAGAAGCAGGCATCACTGAGTTATCACTGAAGTTTCACAGTTGTCTACATCAGCACCATGATTTCATAAGAACACATACAGAAGCGCAGCCTGTCCTTCTCCACATACCTTGACAGCTGAGGAATGAGGTATGGTTTTCAGTGGCTGTGACTGCACTTTCACACCAGGGTCACTATGCCAGATATTCAATATTCCATCACTAGAGCCACTTGCCAGCAACCGGTTGGTCAGTGACCATTTCAGGCTGCAAATGCCTTGCTTGTTTTGGCAAAGAGTCCCAATATGATGCTGAGCAACCCGAACATCATGGTGATGAATAGATCCTAATCTTGAACCACTGTAGATGAGAAAAGACAATATAGACTTGATATTAAAGATGACAGACTACCTTGTGACACTGGTATTTCCTCAGTGGTTTCAGAAGCAAACTACAGAGGGGGCACATGTCCAGCACAATACTGAAGTAGCAAGACAAGCTGCAGTATCAGAAGTGCACTCAACCTGTTGAGGCGGCTGACAAAAGGAACCAAGCACCTGCTCGGTACAGGTTAGGCAGAAAAGTTATTCTCCAGTACAGTTTCCATTTCCCTGATGATATATTTCAATGTATAATGCTGACTTGCATCTTGTTTAAGTGATATTTAACATAGTTCTTAGCGTAGTTTTTTTTCTGTTCTTTAACAAAAGTGCTGTTTCGGCAACATAAACTTTGCCAAGGCCAGCTGTGACTCTGCTCACAAACACAAGGCAGTATATAATTGCACTCCTCAGAAAGGGCTCCAGTTCTGTCATTCCTCCCTTTCCCTTCTTACCTCCCACTTTCAGGCTGAAAGTGGAAGTGCACCAATCACCTCTGTTTGTCACAGTTTGAATTAGCCACACAAATTGCCTGTTAGGAAACAGATTCATGGCTGTGCCTCTCCGGGGGACGATTTCTTCCTTACTCACTATACGGAGCATGAACTGTGGGTCCAAGAGGCTGCATTCTCCATTTACGTATCGTTACTGCAGCCAGTAACATCAGTCTACCAAAAGAAGAAAGAAATGCCCTGCTTGGAGGCATAGCTAGTGTTACAGCTTAGCTCCTGGGTTCTACATATCAATCGGAGAGTTGAATAAAAAATAATAGAAACACCTTACAGCACATATTTTTGTTATATATTTAATGTAGATACTATCCTTAGAAAGTTGGGAAAAAAAATAACACAGCTTCCCAATGGCAGTTTACACTTCCATTTGTGTTCATGACACTGAGAAACTTAAGACTGTTGTCAACTTTCTGGACATGTGAAAACTGTATATCATATACCTCAGATATATTTATTTAAAGCAATAATGACTGGAGATTTTCCTATACTAGCTCTTAAAAATCTTCAGATACAAGTCAAGCAATTTAGAAGCTCCAAAAACTTCAAACAGGCTCCACCTATTGTGCTTGTACAGACCGGTCAAGCTCTTGAGACCAATGAAGTCCACAAATGCATGAAATAATCCAAATAACCAATCTGTCAGTGAATATTAAGAAGGTCATCTTCACGGAAAATATGTACATTGGAATATTCTAAGCTGTCATCACTTGTCTCTTGGGAATTCATAGAGATTTTTCCTATTATATAGTAAGTACAGAAATCTGACTAACAGAAACAAATTTTAATTACCAGTGTTACCACTCTAGCAGTAAGAGTGGGAATGAACTGAGCTCTTAATAATTCTCATTGCATTTTCTTTCCTATTGGATTTTTTTTGCTTGCCATAAGAAATCAGAATTGTTTGCTTTTCACACAATGAATGAAACGGATGATGACATCCGTTTTACTAAAAACAAATTAAAAAACAAGACAAAGTAGAAAGCAATAAGATAGGTTAATTTACTGATACGTATGCAGTGTTTCATAAGGATCTGTTATTGGGCTACTTTGACCACAAGCATCAGTAAGGCCTAAATAACCCCAGAGTCAATTACCTATACTGAAGTTTGGTATAAGAACAGTTCTCTTATTTCAATGACAATGAAAACTAACTCCATGTCTTTCTTTCTGCTTATATAAACATTTCTCATATTTTTAACTTTCATAATTTTAAAACAATTGGTCATTTGTCAAACCTAGCACATTTTATAAATGTTATCTCAACATAACCTCTCAACAGTCATCATGTTTCTCATGCTCATTCTCACCTCATTATCAATTCTTATTCAAAGAGATTTGCAGTTTTTAAGATTCTGCTTCAAAGAGATTTGCAGTTTTTAATATTTCGGCTCACCTGACCAAGCCAAAATACAATCTGAAACTAATGCATACTATAACAAGGTTATGCCACCTGGCAATAATAGGATGTGCAAGCTTCATTATTGTCACTTAACTCACTCAAAAAACCTACTCCAAATACTACAGCATTCTATTAACTGATTGTTTGTTTAGTATCCTTATACATCACTCTACCCAGACTCAATACACTCAAAAGTCACAGGCTCTTAATGTGAAATCAAAACAAATCTACTTCTCTTAAGCAGTGTGTATGCCCAATGACATTAGTTTCATTTTGAGTTTAACAGTGAAGTTCAAATCATTCAACTCTTGATATTATTACTGAGTTTAAAGAGAACATAAGACTATCACATGACTTTAAAATAGTAGCAGTCTTCCTCCAGTCCTTCAAGTCAGAAACAAAGATGTGAACCAGCAAATACAAAAAACCAAAACAAAACAAAAACAAAGTATGTTAAATAATTCTCATCTGAGGTTCCACATTGAAGTGATACCTAAATACAAAATGTTTCTATACAAGTAGGAAAACTCACCTTCAGCAGAGCAAGGTCAGTCATGTTAATCCTCACTCAAAACTGGCCTTGGGCTATAGGAAGTCATGAACTGGCCTTCGTCATAGCTACACAGCTGGGCTCCAGGTGCAACTCTACAGCAGCTGTGCCTCCATGGGCACTTGAAAGGAGAGATGCCACCTTCTTATCCATGGAGGGACAGCCTGAGCTCCACGCCACCAGCCACCTGCTACCTGGCTGGAGTCCAGAGCGACTGCAGGCAACATCATTTAGAGCTCTACACTGGAGTCAAGCCTCCTCATTCTAGTGCAAGTCTGCAAGTGGTGACAGCTTTTTGGAAAGTAAGAAAGAGGGGCTAAAGAGGATGTCCAGTTGCCAATAGCTAAAATGATCAACACTTTGGTCTAAGTAAAAACACCGAGACTTGCTGTTTATCTGTTGTACCACTCACCTGCTTAGAATATAGTGATTCCAGCTCAGAGCTCCAACTACCGACAGGTGACCAAACATATTTCTCAGTCTTTTTTTTGTTTCAATGTCCCACAGCTGCCAAACCAGACAAAAAAAAAAAACAAAAAATATAACAAAGAGGAAAAAAGATTTTTTTGTTAACTTGTTTAAAGGTAAGGCACCACTCTGTTCTGATTTGATATACAGATGGCCTCAAGATCACTCAGTTCACAGCTAAGACATGAAGGAAAATTTCCAAACTTTAGTCCCTACACCACTGATGCTGAAGCCTGTAGGAATTAAAAGCAATGTACACACCCAAGTTTATCTGTTGAACTGCTAGTACTTGGAAATCCACGCTTGACCTGAGTACCTTCAGATATCTGACTTGAGACTGCATGAGGCAGCTCTCCGTATTTTCTAGCATCCCAGCCAAAATCCCAGGAAAATCTCTGGATAACAAGACTGTCTTATTGCAGCTGTCTGAGAGGTGTTTGTATCATCTGATTGAAGTCAAATTCTGATGAACAAAATTTTACTATGGGGGTCCTCTTACCACTGGAAAAAAAAATCTAACTGATGGCTGAATCATCAATTCAGTCATTACCCCTCAGGTGGTTGCAGAGGCAACCTTATCTATATGTAATGCTTCAGAGCACTAAGGCCTTTTGGTGAGATATAGCATGATATAGAGAGATGCTATTTGTCTTCAGCAGAAGGTTTTTTGCATTTTACCCAATGTTTTGGGGTTGTTTCTTTGATATAAATAAATATAAGCATTGTCTTTTGACCACTTTAGATAAAAATAGAAAAAGACTGAAAAAGCAAACTGTCTAGTACTTGCACTTCTCCGTCACTGGTACCAATTGCAAGGCAAGTTCCTTCTTTTATCCAGGCCAGAGAAGAAATGTATTTGAAACTGGAATTCAAATCAATGCATTCACTGCCTTGGAGGGTTCTGCCATTCCAGATGTGTGCTGCAGATCCTAGCGCAAGAGCAAGGAGATTTTCGTGGTTCCAGTCCAGTATGTTTAGATCTACAACAAAGCTATTAAAAATTATTGTAGAAAAGTTGTGGAAAATGGAATGGGGGAAAAAAAAAAAGATGCTTGTTTTGAAACCTCATAGCTGTCTCTTGAAGTTATCACCAGTTGTTTCTCAGTAAGGATAACACATGACGACAGGGACCTACCCTGGCCATCTTTCTTGAAACACACATGAAAATTCCCAACCTCTGCAATAAACCCTGCACAGAAGTAAGTAAGAACTTACAGTAATCATTGCGCAAGCCAGCCACATGAAGCCTCACTTCTGGTTCCAATGGTATGAAAAACTTTGTGGTGGTAACAGCTCTAAACTCATCCTGTGTCCCTTTTTGGCATTCTGCATGTGAAGATTACACAATTCAGTAACACAAATCCCCACAGCCTAAGCTTTTCACACTCTCACTGCTTTGATCTGTTCAGGAGAAGAGGCCAGAACAGTCTAACTTATCCTGGGTAGGCCCAAAACACAAGGCACCCTAAAGTAGATGAAAGTTGCCTTTCATATCTCCACACATTCAGTCAAATAGAACACTGAGTGTGTCCACTAACACGCCAGCAAGTGCGTTTAAATTACAAACACAGTCCATGGCACAACTGGTTTCATTTCACCTGACAAAAATTCTAAGGAGAAAAAGAAGTTCTTGGTAGCAAACCTTTTACACACTGTCCCACCTCAAAACCCTAGAGCATTTTTTTTTTTTTCAGCTGTTTTCAATTTCCCACCAAAATGCCTCCCCCACTAATACCTAACCACAGGAAAAGGTTTTCAAAGCACAGCCACTTTGATCACGGCATGCTAAGTTTGTGACAGTGAGTATGTGAGAAAGAAAAGCAAATAGCAGTAAAATACCAGTAACAGCAAGTCTAAGCTTGCTAAGCCCAGGCATCAGCCTTTGTGGTCGTGTCTACGTAATGCTGCAAAGACCACTAAAAACTGCAGAAAAAGAGCTAGATCATCAGGGATAACTATTTTATAATGTTCATGTTTTTAAAAGTTATCTTGCTGTAATGTGCAGAGCAGATGCACATTTCTGCACTTTCCTTTGTGTTTTGACTTTCTTCTTGAAAAATTCTCCAGAGAGGAGTATTTAGAACAAATAGCAAACACTCTGGAGGCAGAAATATTATTTAACAGAATAACTAACCTTCTGTACTTAAAGACAAACTAACACTAAATCAAAACCAAGTAATGAAAGAACAAGGCAATTCACAAAAAACATGACTAACCACTTTAGTGTCTGCAAGTATCTGTGTCTTTATGAGAACACTTACTTAGATGCCTAAAATACTGCCTCCATATGCACTGAATGTATCTACCTCTGAAGTCCACTTAAATTTCAAACTGTGCAGACCTGCAGAAGGCCTCAAAATAGCATGTTCTAAAAGATTACATTTCATATCACCAACACAATCATATCACACACATTGTAAGTATGGCAGTGGTTGCTGGCTGCCTCATCTAGAGTATGAGAAATCTTACTTTAAGGCCCTTTTCACCTGCAACCTAATAGCCAGAAAAAAGCCTTCACCACCGGCACAGCCTGGCCTTGGTTAGCACAAGAGGACAGTGTTTGCCACGACTATTGCAGCCAGGATCCTACAAAGCTCAAGTGCAGGAGCCCTGTCATTGAAGAGAGAATAAGGAACAGAAAACCTCTGTCTAGTTTCAAAGGAGGACACTTCTCCTCTTTTGCACTCGAGTGCTGGTCCTTACTCCAAATTTTGCCAATTTTACTCAGCTAACCTTCAGTGCCTAAAACATGAACTGCTCTTCTTCCATACAAGAATCAGACTTCATTCTGGTCAGTCTCAGACCCCATCAATTTTAAAATATTTGGAGATCAGCAAGCCAACTTTCTCTAGCATTTCCTATTGACTGAAGAGTGACCCTGCTCATCATGCTCCTCAAAGTCAAGCACTCTCTAATGTGCTTCTTTATCCCTATTTACTGTTTAAGAAACATGCAGCTCGTGTTCTAGTTTGTGAATTTTGCTTGCAGAGCTGGGCACCTAACACTTACTGGCAGCAAGACGTAGGCAAGTAAGTCATACTGCAAACCACAAAGTCCATGAAGGTGAAGATGTTCATTTCTTTTGCACCATGACCAAACATGGGTCTGTGTATGAAAGGGTGGAGGGAAGGAGTTTCTCACTGTTTTCACACGGGCAGTTTTAGGGGCACCACAGAGTTACACCCAGATACTGAGATAGAAGCTGCCCAGACCTGCATAACAAACTGTGCCACAAAGTGATCATCTTCCTTACCGTCCCAGAGGTTCCATATTTACAGGTCAGAAACGAAAGTCAGATCTTTAAAACTACGGTTATAAATTAGCAGTCCTAGAGGAGCATCAGCTACCTGAAACTAGGGAGGGTTTCCTGATGTGAAGGTGACACAGCTGCAAGCACAGCACTGTAGAAGCAGGTGCCGATCAGCCAGATGACACAGACCTGCTCCATCAGCATGTATTAAATTTATCCCCACCTGTGCACATAGACAAACTCCCATGAGTGTAGGAGCCTGAATCAGCCCTCTCTGGCAAAGGTCCAAGGTAGGCAGAAATAACCTGACCACAAAACAAATCATCCGTCCAAAGAGAACACACAACAAAAGGTTGTTCTGATATTTAATGAACTATCTCATGTTCAAGTAATTCCAGCAATATCTGTATTATTACACAGTTTTGCTCTCAAGTTCTACCCGGTTCCTGATGCACTGATCATTCACCTTCCCTGCACACTAGTTTGTTCCCATAATCGCTCTTCTCGAGCAAATCAACTAACTCTGACAGATTAAGCTACAAGAAACAGTAGTATTAGAAACAGTTGCTCCAGCAGCCTTTCTCTACAAGTAACCTGGATCAGGTTTGCTTCCTCCACTCATTCAGCACTATCCCTGTCTTGTACTCTCAGGTACCCAACAGTACAGGCCATATATCCTGTGTCCAGCCTGCAGCACCAGCCTGTATGATTTTTAGCATCTGAAACTGAGAAAACATCAGAATATTAATATTGATGTTTTAGGGCCACAAGGGTGTCCCATGGAGCCCAAAGAAGAGCCAGGTATAACGTTGGGAGTTAACTACAGTGGAAGAGGTGTAGTACTGTATGTTAGAGGTAGTTGCCTCTAGAAGCAGCCTCAGGCAGCGTGGCTCTCTGCTACTTTGGATTGTTCTGCATCGCTTGCTGGAACAGGTTTCTTTTCCAGTGTAGATGCAGCCTGCTGTAGCTTCTTGTTCAGTGTACACAGGGGTGAAACCTACCTTTCCATGTGCAATTAGTATTTTCACAGACCTTCATGCCACCACTTTCTGAAATGCTGTATCCAACCTTTTGGATTGTCAGAAGCCGAGAAACAGATTTCTGCCAATAAATCAAAGCAAAAACAGAGTGAATAAAGAAATATGTTACAAAATACACTTTATATATATATATTTACACACAAAATGTACATATACGCACATGCATATACACAGATATATAATGTGTATGTATCTATATACACACCAAAAATCTCAGAAATAAGATTTTTTTTACTGTATTATCCTTTCTTCGTGTATCAAAGAAAGGGATGAAAAAGGAGAAAAAAAAAAAAAAACTTACTGGATTTTTTTCATCCCCACCCCATCTTCAGGAAAAAAATATATCCTTTGGCCAAGCTATATGCTTTATGAATCTCTTTATCCATCCCTAATAATAATGCATTTCTTCATAACGTTTATTCGCCAAGTTGAATGCTCTTGATGACAGCTTTTCTGTGTACATGTCAAGAGGTCAAGAAACTGTCTGGTCTGTAATTCTTTATTCAATCAGGTGGAAATGCAGTTCATGTTTTCAACAGCCACTCAAGATCAACAATATGTTCCTTTTCCAATGTCTGCAAAATGTCTTTCCAAGCAAACCCAATGTTGCTCTTCTTCAAAACCCTGTTGTAATAATAAGAAATGTCTCACAGAAAAACATAACTAAAAGAAGTGTTTCTCCTTTACATATCTCAGCTGTTCTACAGCAGACTTTCTGCTCCAAAAGGCTCTTTCTCCATGATATATATTGACAACTTGGCAGAAAGCTAATCAGGATTGTTTGGATCTGTATCCCTCTACAGTAAGTGCAGACATTTCTATGGAAAACTTTTTGTGTACATAGAGAAGTAATATTTTGGCCCACAAAAGACCACACAAGTTCACTGGAATGTGAGGTTTTATTTTCAATGCATCCCACCCCTTTACGCTACCAGGCAGGACAAACTAATTACTAAATCTGAAAAGATGAATAGATTTCCTTATGGTTTTAGGCAGGACTGACTATTCCAAATGGTTTTAGGCAGAACTTTGGTTTTGGTCATCTCATGATGTCATCTCAGAGACACCAAGATCACACTTAGAAAAGCTGTGTGGTCCTTGGTGTAGGACCTTTCTTTAATTCAACTTCTGCATATCAATCACAGTGTAATTCTATGCAAGTATTTCATGCCTTAGAAAAAATAGTAGAAGACTGATTTAAGTAGGGAAAAAGACTTTACAATTACTGAATCTTCTCAGTAATACTCATGAATGAATATTATAACCCAGGCCACAAAATATGCAACGGTGAAGCATCCCCACTCGGCAGTCATAACCAAAAAGGCAACCACATGAAAACGGCTGTCAGTACTTCTGTACTGACCTTGCTGCAATTAAGGAAAGGACAGCACAACTCAGGATAAAGACAAGACACTGACTAAAAGTTTACAGCTTAATATATGACCATTCACAGGTAGCATTAGAAGGAGGTGTTTTTTTTTTTTATTTTCAGGGTATGGCAGTAACATTTATTAACACAGACAAGCATCACTACTTCACAAAAGAAGTCAATTTCAAAAAGCTAGTGAACAGAAACAGGTGCTTAAATTTAAGATGAGTAAAAAGGAAAAGGTAAAGCTGGAGAGGGGAAAAAAGGAAAGAAAAAGTTCAGTGACTAACAGTAAAATATCTACAAAAAACCCTAAAAGGTAAAAGCTGATTTCAAACCATTAAGTTCATCTAGAAAGCAGTTAAAATCCAACAGATGCATTAGTCCACAAAACGCACCAATCAATATAACATTATGGGATCCACTGGTAAGCAAAGCCAGCACGCCTACCTAGTTGATCAGCACCAAATACTTCTTTCCCTCCATTTACCAAGATGTGTCTCCCCTTAACTGCAGTCTCAGTGTTTAACACCTCAGGCTCTGAAGTTTTTGTTTCATATTGTAAGCAGATTCCGTATCTTCTTCCACCCACTGTCATGAATCCTTAAGAGTCACCATGTGACCTTTCCTTTCCATGATTAAGATTTTATTCACAAATAGATATTGTCACATTAATATTTTATTTTTAGAAAACTGCTCCTAGCATCTCATTCTGTCTACGTGACAAAATGAACGGCTATACCCCACACAACTGCAGAAATGATCTTCACACGGTGGTTATTAAGACAAGTACAACATGAGTCATGTTTTTCATGAGCATTTTTCATATATACGTTTTCCCTCAGAGGTAACAAACAGATCTTGAGGGCTTCATTAGCTTGGTTTCAATTTTAATTTGTAAGATGATAGTTTGTGGGAAGTGGACAGAAGTTGAATTAAATAAACGACAAAGCAATTGTTCCTTATAATTCTCTAGCAGATGTTTCCTAAAGGGATCTCCTCTTGTTACTGTTGTCTGTGTTAATAACATGGCATGTACGTATGGGATTCCAGGTCAAAAACATATAAGAACACATCATGAAAGCAAATATCCTACCTGTGTACCTGAATGTTACATTACTCACCTGTCTCATTGCAGCTCTGCTGGTATTTCTCCATTTTAACTCTGCTAGTCTCACATCAGTTTTCTTGACACAAAGTTTGCTAGCCACCAGAGACAATGCTGCAAAACCAATTTTAATGAAATCGTTCCTCTAAAAATATACAGGGATGTTTGTCAAGTACTTCTTAAAATAGCACCCATTTCACAGTAACGATAGTTTTTATAGTAAAAGCGATCTGACACACTCAAAGTGGGACAACTGTGATACTTGATCTAGACACACTGGTCTCCCTTTATTGTCAGCATTTCTATAGCACTACTCATTCTAAAAGGAATGTCTAAAAAAGGTCACATCAGCTATGTCCTTTATAATTAAATGAATGAATAAATACATGGTTGAACAGGGACATTCTGATTTACAACAGTATTGTACTTTGAGTAGGACCAGAAGCCATGGCCTGCTATGAGCATACCCTGAATACTAAAGAGTATCTTTTATTTGCTGTCTAAAATTTTCCATTATTAATAGAGAAATGGGAGTCCTACTTCATCCCATAGCTCCTCCAGAAAACTCCTCTATGTATATGCATGCACATGTGTAAATCCTTACCCATTTTCCCTCAGCACTGCTGAAATTATGAGTCAGTAAATTTGAAGGCTCACTTTAATTTTTCCTCAGCTCCCTCTGTTGTTCATGGAGAGAAGAGCCTCCTCCAGATCAAGCTGGCGTACTGAAAATTTGCTCTGTGCTCTGAATGGCCCTCAGGAAGATCCTCTAAGTATGACTCCCTTGGCAGACAGGACCTTTTTCAGCACCTAGAACCTGAGGCAGTGGAGGTGGGAACACGATAGAGCAAGTTTCTCATTCAGTGGGTCAGCTCTGAATTCAGCTCACAAGCTGAACCTTATAACCTGTGTAAAACTAGCATTAAAGCTGTTCTTCCTGTAACTCCCATCTGTACACAAGAACACAGGAACAGTCTTATATTTTCCCAAAATTCTCTCTGTAAAATACATCGCATTCAGACATGCAGACTGGTCCAGGCTCTGCAGACAGGCTCTGGCCTCGTAGCTGTGCGTAGGAGAAAGGGAAAGCAGGGAGAAGGGAAAAAGACTTGCATGAACTCTACCATCTTATGAGCTACTGCCAGCTATTCCAGATACGAAGATGCAGTAACACAACCTGTACACTGTTATAGCCCAGTTTGTTATAGCCCAGTATTGAATCCAGCTCAATACAAATCCTCGTCTTTGAGGCTGCAGGTGGAATTATTTGTTTGGGGACAGGATTTTGGCCTTTCTTTCACTTTCCAAGGGATCAGCCCTCTGTATGACCTGCTGTGGTGTGTCTGTCCTAGTCGCTCTGTGCACTGTTAATGGGAAGCTTGAGCCTGGCTTTCCTCTCACATCAGCAACATTAATTTCACAGAGAGGCAGCTGGCTCCGAGCTCACTCGGTGGACATCTGCACAGAGCACCTGCACTGCGCTGCGCACAGCAGCAAGAGCTTCACGGGGACAGGCAAGAACGGCACCCCACACCTTCCAGGGAACCCCCTCTCCTGGCCATGCCAGCAGCCCCGCGGGACCCCATCCTCCGTCACGCACCAGCCTTTGCTCTGACTGACCTGGCGCCTTCGCAGGCGCATGCAGGAGCCGGGGCGCCCCGCAGGCCCCACGGCCGCGCGGCTCCTCGGCGCTGCTTCTCGTGGGCAGCTGCTGCCCTCTGGTGACAAGAGGGCTGCTTGCCACCGGGGCCCTGGCCGTCAGCTTCTTCTTGATGGAGCTCTCAAACCTGGAGTACGAGGTCCTCCCGGAGCCTGGTGTCTGCACAAGGGAAGAGATCCAAATCACCAGGATCAGGCATGACTCAGCACTGTTGTCCCTTCACCTTGCTTTTCCTGCCCCTGTGAATCTCAGTGGTACAGCATGAAAATGCTCCTTGGGCAGAGCAAAGCTCCAACAGCTGCCGGGGGGGAAACCCTCTGCCCAGGGCAGCCCCTACGAAGCAGGGACAGCGCCGTGGGGCCTTGGTCTCTGGCTCACACACAAGGGACCGCAACCACCATGCACAGAGTTGGCCAACTGCTCCTCATAGATCCCACAGCACCAGGACACAGGAGCACACCCTGAAAAATGCACTTTTCTTAGCCTGCAACTACTGCCAAAAGCACAGTAGAATCTGAATTGATATAAATGCAAGTTCACAAAATAAACATATATACTCCCGAGGGAAATAACAAGCATGCAATGCTCAAATGAGGAGCTCAAACAGGTGTGTTTATGGGTGAATTCGCTTGTATGCAAAGCGCCTCATCTCAGGACAAGCTAAAGGACGTGGTTTCCTGATACAGTGAGCAACTGGATTCACCTGCCCCAAAACGCTGAAAAGCAACAGTTACTCTCTTTGTGATACAAAGTAACACACACACCCCCGCGGGGTGGGGGGACAAAACCAGAACAAAAAAACCCAAAAAGCTAGAACTGGATCTGAGTCCCGTAAGTATCCCTGAATCTATGAGCAATGACCTCAAAGAATAAAAGAGACGAAAGAAAAGTAGCAAAGGTAAAATCTTGGAAGTTATTTTTAATGATATCTTACACTTTTCCTCCTATTCCCTTTGTGAACCCCTGCTATTACTCCTGATCATCTGATTCTTCACATGCACATATTAAGACATATTATATTAAAATTAAATGATATTCACATTTATTACTTTTAGATCCATCCATACAGGCAATCCCTACAAGCAAACAATTGTGCCAAAACAAACAAACAAAAAACAAAACAAATGAAAACCTTCTAAACATGAAAATGTATCAAAATTTGAATTGGGAGAGCCTGAATAATATCAAGCTCAATATCTTGTTCTTCAGTTTTAAAGCCATGTACAGATCAAGAAAGCAACAAAAGTAACAAGTAAATGCATCTAACAGGCCTCTAGATCATTATTAGGAAGCCTAGTAGATATTTATAATATAATAACAAAAATGAAGTTGTGCAATCTTTTCCATTTCTGAAATAATTTTAAATGCAACATTATAACTTATGCTCTGGATTCCTGCCCTGATGTGCTCAACACTCATACAAATACCAAAAGTCAAGAGACACACAGAGAGAGCAGGAGGGAAAAGCAAATGGTCAGGGAGAAAAAGGGAAGAGATGAGAAAAGGAAACACAGGATGAACAACAGGAAAAAAAAAAAAAAAAGAAAAAGAAAAAGAAAATTTGTTCCTTCAGCGCTGTCATCACTATATGTTAGTATCTGAAGTGTCCTTTCAGATACCAAGCAGCGACAAGCAAAGACAGCAAGTGCTCTAGGACAGGGGGAAAAAAAATCTTTAGATATAAAGAAACAAATTTTCAGATTTTACAGAAGACAGTAAGAGGCAGGCAGAGAAGATGCCTGGCTGCAACGTTTCTAAATTCCTCACCAAAATGCCACTGTAAGGAGATGTCTGGTTTAGGCTGAGAATCTCAGGCCATAACCTCTTCTCTTGTGCTAACCCTCCACCTTCCCACCTCAGCAGAGCTGCCCAACAGTTCGACAGTACCATTAAGGAAATATATACATATATATATTTTCTAAGCTCTACACTCCTTTTTCCCTATTAAAAAATCATTTGATTTTCTTCCCTCACACTAGCCTGCAAACAAGGACATTACTTCAGCCAGTGGTTTCAGAAAATAGTCTTACAAATGCATGGATGGTGCCCGCAGCCACAGAGCCGCCGATGCTGGGGCAGGGCCATCCTGCCCTCCTCCTACCCAAAATGCTGGCCCCAAACTGCTCGTCCTCCCTGGCAACATGGGAGCCAGGGATGTGCTAGAGCTGCGCTACACATCCGCAAGAGAGGTCCGAGCCAGTTCTCAAGATTACGTACAAGCACTTCAGTATAATTCAGTTGAATACAAAAATCTGTATCTCTATGTGATGGGAACACACTTCTCATTTTCTTTTTCTCCTGGTGAGAACCATTTTGTGATGAAGTGAGGGTCCAGCAGAGGCAGTGTAAGAGGAAACGGTCACTTCTGCAGCAGGAACAAAATGAGCAGCTTGTTCGTTTCAGCCTGAGCAGCGATGAGTTTCACATTTCAGCTCCTCCTTCACATTCCGGGCCTGCCCAGGCCCCTCTCCAACGGTTTTGAAAATGGAGCCGCTCACAACTACTTATCCTTTAAAACATTCCGTGCCCAAAGCCAGGGTCTTTGTTGTTTTTCTGTCGATGGTTTTGTGCACTGCGGTTCTCTGCCTACTGCAGCTCAAATTTTTTAAGCCTAAAACCAAAGATTTTTATTCTTTTGAAGTCAAAGATTCACGAGGAAGGATTGTTTCCTTGGAAAAGTACAGAGGGAAAGTAAGTTACAATTTCGTTATACCTTTGTCTTGAATCTTTACTGAAAGCTATATCCACTTGTAGGTTGCAGGAAAGTTTATTGGAATTTATGATATAATCATAAGCTAGAGAGAAATTTATTTTATTTATTTTACCTAGGCCTGCCTTAAGAATTAAGGATAAACTACTATAAAGAATGTTAAATAAAAGAACAAAGAGCATTAAATATTAAGTATTCAGCATTTATTAAATACATTTCAAATAACCCTATGGATTATAAAAAAATACCGTTCTTCAATGTTATTGTTTAACAATGGAATTTTTGCATTTTATCGGTGTTAGTTGAGAAGGGCGATATGTTGTATTGAATTTCTGTAGCTGAATAAATAAGATGATTTAAGTGTCAGTCGTGCATATGCTTTTTGCATGCTTATTTTTAAGCAAAGCCGTAATTAGAAAGAGTTTATCCATTTGTAAGATTTCTAAACCGGAGGTCTCAAAAAAAAAAAAAAAAAAAAAAAAAAAAAAAAAAAGCAAATATCTTCAGCTGCTTACTCTGTTTACTGAACCTGTGTGACACTGAATATGCTACGTGGAGATTTGATTAAAATCTCTATGCCATCTTTAGTTCCTTTCTAAGCAGTGTACACTTATTTTTCTGAAGGCAACTTTGGTTGTAAACGTGGCCAGTTACTGCCAGCACACAGACAAGAACTACCTCACGCTGCAGGAACTGCACAGGGAGTTTGGTCCCTCCCACTTCACTGTGCTCGCTTTTCCCTGCAACCAATTCGGAGAATCAGAGCCCAGCTCGAGCCAGGAAATAGAAGCTTTCGCCAAAGGAAACTACGGAGTAACCTTCCCCGTTTTCCACAAAATCAAGATTCTAGGATCAGAAGCAGAGCCGGCCTTCAAGTTCCTAATAGGTAACTATTTTCTTCTGTATATTGCACTGCCTGTGACTGTGATATTGTCCCCAGACTCCAGTCGGGGTTTAATAAAGCCTAACCTGAGCAACCATTGCAGTCTTCAGCCATCATCTACAGAGAGAAACAGGCTCTCAGAACATAGGTCCTCCCATTTTAAGGTAGACACCATAAATAAATAAAAAGACTTAAGAGTGGTAGCTTGAAAGCACTTGTTTCTCCCTACTGATGATAAGTCTACCATGACTAGCTCAGCTAGTCCCTCCTCAGTCTCCCTCTTTGGGACATACAAGTCTGACTGCAAATACTCCCATATGCAAAATCTTGTTTCAAATTATGTGATCTTTTGCTGGAAAAAGGTGCCATTACATTAACTCATTTTGTGAATTTAAGGAGCCAGCTTGCAAAATCCACTTGCACAAATTTTTCAGATGTCTGTTATATCAGGCAGTTACTGACTTAAAGCCTCATGCTTTAAGTCAAGTGAAATGAGACTGTATGTATTCACTTGATCAAAACATTCACAGATACAAAGTCAAAAAAAAACCCAACTCTGAATTTTCCTGAGCTTTGGTCTTCATAAACCACAACCCTTCTCTGTCACTTAAAAAAAAAAAAAAAAAATAGAAAATAAGGCGCCAGAAGACCCCCTAATCATGTTCCCTCTCCCTGCCCCTCTGTCCCACTCCAGATCATAGACACCTAACCCAGTATGAAAGGTGATTTCCCAGACTAGTACAGTAGTCACAACAGCCTCCAAAACTTCCCAGTCTTTTCCACTTTTTCACAACTCTTTGTTCAAGAGCTATTTGCCCATTCAAAAGATGATTTCTTTCACCACTTAATCCCATTGGTTCTTGTCATATCCTCAAAAACACGTGTTAGGTACTTGCATGTTATCATCACGCCTCTCCTCAGTCATTTCTTAGCTGGTTGCAACAGTCGCTATGTTTCTCCCACCTGCCTTCAGGTGTCTTGTTGAGGGTAGGGTCCCATTGTTCCAAGATGCCTCCGTGTCCAGTGGAATTACTGCCTTGCACCCTGCAGGGTTCTCTCCACATCCATCCGAGTGGAGACCAGGGCAGGTAGGGGTAGATGTCAGGGCAGTTAACCTCACTGTGCCTCACATTCTTATGTTTCAACAGCTAAATTACCAACCCCACACAGGATGACGATGTGAGCATACAGAAGTGAAAAGAGGAAACTGGATGTCACATGTATCGTTCAATATAAACAGTTGGGAATTAAACCTTCTTTCCATTCACCCAGCTAAAAATATCTGAACTTTTTGTCCACCATGTCCTTATCAAGGAAAAGGGTTGCACTTTAATGACAGCATAGAGGGTGTAAAATTTAGTAGTTTTGAGCAGCTAGATGGCTAAACAAACACCTACTCCTACCATAAAGAAACAGAACTACATATTCATAAGTGAATATGTAGTACATATACATGAGTGAATATACATATTAATTCATTCAAATCATATTTGACATATTTCTCATCCATAGAAAGACAAATCAAATATTTTGAAATAAGATACTTCTTTTCCTGCATTCCTCTGCTTCACAGGAAATTACTGTGCATCACCAAAGTAGTATCTCTCCTATATTTAGCTGTCCTCATAATTAGAAGATTGAACATGTTCATGCTACATCACTAGCTGGCATTTGCCCACTGCTGTTAGATAGGTTAGAGCAAACAGGATCTACTGGGAGCACAAACATGGTGCCAGGCCCTCACACGACTCAACATCCTATCACCCTTGCAGCAGTGAAGTGTTCTGCTGGTCCAGTGCAGGGCTTCTGACCTTACCTTTGTAAGCTTCCTATGTAGACATGCACTTACAGGGACTCATATACATTAAGGAACACTGTAAGAACACTCAGACATGGGGTTACATTACCTCAAGGCTGATCCTAGATGTAACTACTCAACAAAGGTGGAATTACAAGCTGGGTCAGTGCCTCCATGACAAGAACTTTATCACTCCCAATGCTTACAGTCACGATATAACTATCTCGATATCAGTGTAGGCCTCAGCACTGTTCCCCACGGTGTACCTCTCCCTGACTGAGATCTCCTGCAGTTTTCTTCTACTTCTTCCTTCAATGCAAGATTTGCTCTGCCTGCCTGGGACCGCTAAGACACTGCGGGATAAAGGCAGAGTCAGGAAACTGCTTCCATCTCCTTGGGAGCCATCTAGTTTCTTGATGCTATTTCTGGGGCCAAGGGGCAAGCTGCCAGGAGATCATTACAGTAACATCACCATATGTTCTGCCTTACCGGTGGGAAGGGGCTCAAGGAGGCCACTGCAGCCACCATCACTTCCTGCTCCCACTTTTCCACATAAGCCCCTCTAGCACTGGGGATTCCTTGACAAATTCCCCCATATGCTCCTTCACAGGAAGCAGAACTGAGTAAAAATAGAAACTTTTCAGCAGCTTCAGCAGAAGATGAAAGTATCATGCAAAAAGCACCACTTTTCTGATCATTAACAGCAACCATGAAGCTCATGTCCAGATTGCTAGCAAAGAATAAGGTGGGATTAAAAGAAACAGAATAGCCAGTCACTGCTGATAATTAAACACTTAGAAGCTTATAGGAGCATTAAAGTGATCCAATGCCACTCTTACAGATTCTTCAAAGAAAGAGCCTAGATGGAATTTCTGGAAATATCTTGTCAACCCAGAAGGTAAAGTTGTGAAGTTCTGGAGACCTGAAGAACCCATAGCAACTATCAAGCCAGAAGTAGCATCCTTGATCAGACAGATCATCATGAAAAAGAGGGAAGATCTCTGAAAAAACCATTCAGCCTGTGAATCTATTTGACAGCAGATGTGCACAACTTCAGTACATTCCTGGAAATGCTGCTAGAAGCTAAACCATCAAGTGATTTTATTCTCTTTGGTGTTAGTATTTTCAGCTCCACTATGACAACAAATGATGGATTTACTCCTGCAATATGTTGAGCAGCACAGAGGTCACCAAGAATGGCAAGGCACTCAGGACAGGACTGGACCTGCAATTGGCATAAAGTTTCTCAAAGATTTTTTTTTTTACATTGCTG